GTAGTGTCCCTGCAAGTGCCACGTTTTGTTTATCAGTACGGCGAATGACTTGTCACGACGTCAGTATCCGTACTCTGTAAAAAAAATCTAGTTCTTGGTTGATCAGTCTTGGTTGATCATTTTATGAATTGCGATTGTTGGTATCCCTCTTTCAACAATAGTCATCGATCGACATGGCTTCTGTAACTACATGAGTAGTGAGGCCGATGATTTTAGGGATTTTTTTTTTTTTTTCTTTACTTCTTTTCTCGCGCACGACCATTGCTATTCACTAGCTTGGCTGGCTATAACTCAACAACAGGCCATGTCCCACATATTACTCACCTGGCATAGTTGATGCGCGCCACTAGCGATGAAACTGCCGTATTCCGTAACTAGGGCCCTGGGGCCAAGTGAACCACCCGATTACAGTGCCAACTGTTGAACTATTTACCTAACTTGCTAACTAACTAGATATCCGTACTGCCTCTTTTCATCAGAAATTTTTTTAACTAGTGGGCTGACACTTGCAACTTGTTTCACAGTTGATAGATGACGGGTAACCTGCATTGTCTGCCTACCTACCTACCTGTCTGTCTGTCTGTCTGTCTGTCTGCCTGCCTCCGTCTGCAGCCCAGTTGATGCGACGCACTGACAACAGCCCTGCAACTCACCCTTTTTTTTTTTCTTTTTTTTCTTTCGCATTGTTTCATTGCAAGTCTACTCGCGCTCATTCAGAGTTTGTCCCTGTTACATGTTTGCTTGCCTCGTTTCCGGTCTGACACCTCCGAAAGGAGCCGGTGTACCTTGAATGTACTCGTACAACAAAAGATTTTCAAAGATTTTTCAAAGGCCGCAGGCCTGTAACAAGCGGAACAAAGTTGATGGGGTGAAACAAAACGCATGGGCTGCAGCTCGCTACTGCAGCGACACCCAAAATGGCAAAGCTGCCTGCAGTTTCCGGTAATAAAATCAAGATGGGAAGACTGCTTGTCTGCAGTGACAGCAATGCATAACCCATCGCTTCGCTTCTCCAAGGTCTCACCAGGCGGCAACCCTGACTCGAAGCCATCTAATCACATCCTCTTTCCCGTCACCGTTGTACTCACTGTTTGAAATATGGAGTCAGCCTTGATCGGGGGGCTGGCTGTCGTTTGAATTATGCAAAACCACGGATGCTCCAGCCTTGTACTACCAGTAAAAAAAAAGGGCGTTATGATGGAACTTGATGAATCCCCAACAGATGCCATGGTATTAAAGAACTACCAGTGACACTGCCGAGTACTGCGCGCTCCGGCTCTTCCCATCGTTGCATGATTCGGGCGGCGGGCCAGTGGGCCAAAAAACTGAACTTGCCTAATAATTACAGAGTATGTAATCCGTAGGCGCTCTCGAGTATCCGCATGCTTGACCATTTCAAGCAAGGAAATAACAGTCATCTCTCGGCAAGGAGATTGTGCAACATGGGATCAAATCAAAGCAAAGCCAACCTAAAAACTTACGCTCACAGTATTATTACGGATAAATAATCACAATCCTGTAACCGAGTGGACGTCTTTTTTCGAGAGTATATCTCCTCAAGAAAAATTGCTAAAAAGCGGGAATATAAGCTCCTTGCGATAACCTTGTTGACTTTTCTATTCTATTTTTTTACTATTTACACCTTTTTACCTTTTTTTGTTCTTTTTCTTTTTTGTTTTCCTGGGGCAAGATCAGCCATCGTACGAGAATGAGCAATGCCCCCCTGTCGGCGCCTTCTACTCAGACCCGGAATACCCTGGCCGCCATCCCGGGGGCTTATAGATCTGCTGCCCAACCGTTATTTATCATGCAGTTCTATCAAAACGTGATAGGACAATGAGCTTTTCTTTGCCAAGGGTTTTTCCGGTATTGCCAATCTACTCCGTAATTTTTTTTTCGACGAGGTATTTAATTTTCCGACCTCTTCCGCACGCAACTCGGTCATTGAATCCGACAGGCATTCTTAACCAAGAGTCTCTTACTGAAACGAGTCCTACTAATAAATATGATTAATCGAAAGATGTGACGTTGCATTGGGTGTATCTATATTCAGTTTCAGATGCAAGATTCGACTAGGCACCTGAATCACTGTAACTGGTTCCTGTTGCTCGAATTCTGCCGATTGGCAAGCGACGGGTAATAAAGCCTTTTTTTTGGCCTCGCAACCCCCTCCCTAATTTGGTAATAATTTCTTGATTTGTGCCACGATGACGGCGCGAATCGACTCTCCGACTACTGTATTCAACAGCGCTTCGTTTGTTGCAGCATTCATCATGTTCCTTTGAGTTGATTTGCACTAGTCAGTGATAGTTGACTAGGTTTTCTCCCGGACGTCTCAACATTGAAACAGCCTTCGACCTTCTTCGACCCGTGGCGTTGCAGCAGCGGTCAATCTCCCACGTATGTTATTGCATGGGAGACCCATGCAATAGATCGTCCTAGCCAAGCTTGGAATTTTCCTGGCGGGAAGCGGCCGGAGCTGTCAGCGATGACCGTTGAGTTGTCATCACTGCCTTATCTCTTCTTCCCCATCGTGGATTCGTGGGAGGGGGGGCGTCCTATCGCATTATACCCTATCCATGATGGATAGATGGTATTTTGTCTATTGCGCAACGGCAATATCAGGCAGGGCAACAAGTAAAATAACAGTCTATGATGCATGCCACATGCATACGTACATACAGATGGCCTTGGCTCGGCAGTATTCTTTGTATTACCAGTGACCCTGACAAAACCCTTGCCAGGCCCGTTTCAACTAACCATGTGGGAGGTGCCGTGCGTGTATTTACATCGAACTGCGTGTTTTACAAGCAGGTACTGGTACACTGGACATAGTTATTTACAGCTACAATTTTTTTGCATGAATGCGGCCCCCCCCCTCTCTCCATAAGTAGCTTGATGAGCTTCCATTGATGATAATCAAAGGCCTGTCGGGCGTCTTGCACTGCCCTGCGCTGTACTGATTAAATAACTAGAGCGACATGTGCCGAGCCGGCCATTTCGGGTCAATGTCTCAGCGACATATTTGTTCGGCCCAATAGCAAACGTCTCTTGCTTTATTACTCCCGAGGAGCAACGAGTCAACGACTAGAACATTACTCACCGAGTTGGCGCCTCCGGCTTGCAATGCCCCGACCGCCGACCAGTAAATAAACTATCCCACCCTTGCTTGACTCGACGCTTGACTCGAGCGCTTGTTTCCTCGGACCGGCTTCTGCATGAACACATCGGTACCTGTACAAGAAAAAGACGGATAACATAAAATAGGATAAAATAAAATAAAATAAAATAAAACAGCCGTGCAGGGGGCCATGTGTCCCACCCAAACCGGCCTTGGCGTAGAACCGGGGTTGCTGCGAGGTGAAAGGATCGGTTCAAGCTCCCTCCCT